CACACCCCTGCACACTCCTGCACACCCCAGCACACCCCATACACACACCTGCGCACACCTGCACACACCTTCACACACCAGCACACCCCATACACACACCTGCACACACCTTCACACACCTGTACACACCTCCACACCCCACACACACACCTCCACACCCCTGCACACTCCTGCACACCCCAGCACACCCCATACACACACCTGCGCACACCTGCACACACCTTCACACACCAGCACACCCCATACACACACCTGCACACCCCTTCACACACCTGCACACCCCTGCACACTCCTGCATACCCCATACACACACCTACACACCCCACACACACACCTCCACACACCTGCACACACCTGCGCACACCTGCACACACCTTCACACACCAGCACACCCCATACACACACCTGCACACACCTTCACACACCTGTACACACCTCCACACCCCACACACACACCTCCACACCCCTGCACACTCCTGCACACCCCATACACACACCTGCACACCCCTTCACACACCTGCACACCCCTGCACACTCCTGCATACCCCATACACACACCTACACACCCCACACACACACCTCCACACACCTGCACACACCTGCGCACACCTGCACACCCCCCACACACACCTCCACACACCTGCACACCCCACACACACACCTCCACACACCTTCACCTCCCACACACACACACCTCCACACACCTGAACACACCTGCGCACACCTGCACACCCCACACACAGACCTCCACACACCTTCACACACCTCCACACACCTGCACATACCTTCACACACCTGCATACACCTGCACACCCCCCACACACACCTCCACACACCTTCACACCCCTGCACACCCCTGCACACTCCTGTGCACTCCTGCACACCCCTGCACACCCCTGCGCACCCCTGCACACCTCCTGCTGGAGTGACCTGTGTGGTTCTTGGGAAGAGTGGAGGAGGGACGGAAAGAGGGATTTTGATGGGGACGGAAGTGACTGAGGTTCGTGTGTAGGCATTTCCAGAAGACACAGTCCAAGAGAACAGTCTCACGGTCAATTAGCATCTTGTGCCTGGGGGCGGGGTGTCTTCCGCATCATAGTCAGGAGCTACTTCCGTTGCACGTCAAGCACAGAGACACACACCCTGCGCCCCACCGCTTGGGCTCAGACGACTGTCTCGGTGGTGCTGAGATTGCCGCTATCTTCCTGGCGCCTGGACTGCGTTTCGTCCTTGAAAGCCCTGGTCAGGACCACCTTTAAGGACTCCTTGAACCGCTTCTTCCGGCTGCTGCCCACGAAGAAGTAAATGAAAGGGTTGGCGCTGCTGTTAATGGTGGAGAAGAGGAGGGAGATGTCGTGGAGGCTCCCAAACGTGGACCAGTACTCGTAGAACAGCAGGTAGAGGACTCTCATGGGCATGGCGAAGGTGAGGAAGATGGCGATGGTGACCGCGATGACCAGGTACAGCTTGGAGGAGTGGGACGCCCAGGTGTTCCTGCGGATCTTGACCACCAGGACGGCGCTGGACAGCACCATGAGGGGCGTGAAGACCAGGAAGCTCAGGATGGCGATGAAGATGATGACCGCCCTGCAGTGGCTTTGGGAGTAGCTCTGCCTCTCGCTGTCGATGCACAGGGCGTATTCCATGGCCGTCACCAAGCAGGACAGTGCCCACAGGAGGGCGCAGACGAGCGCCGACTGGTGCTTGGGGCGATGGCATCGGTACCAGATGGGGTACAAGACGGACAGGCACCGCTCCACGCTGATGGCCGTCAGCAGATAGAGGCCCGTGTTGTAGCCAAACAGGAACGTCACGGACAAGGTGACGATGGTGTAGTAGTAGCCCGACAAGAGCTCGTAACCTAAGGCGTAGTCGACGGTCAGGATGAAGATGCAGAACAGCAGGGAGATGTCCGCGATGGACAGGTGGGTGATGTAGACTGTGAAGGGGTTCCTTCGCATCCGGAAGCAGAGGAACCAGAGGAGAACCCCGTTTTCCACGAAGCCCAGCGGGGAGATGCTCATAATGACCCAGAGCACGGCGGGCAGTTCCTCCCGCACGTCCCCGGCGGAGGCGTTCCTGCCCGTCGAGGCATTCGTGGGGCCCTCGACAGCAAATGAGGTCACGTTGGACTCACCCATGGGGAGGCCTCAGGGGGGCGCTCTTCCGGGAATTTTCTGTAAATAAGTTAAAAAAAAGAAAAATAAAGGAAATTGATGAGTTGGGGTGAAAGGGAGAATTTCAGCATGGATCAGAGCCTTCGTGCTATAATCATACATGTAACCTTCATACAAAACGTGTTGAATAGATTGTACAACTCTGTTTCTAAGGGTGATAAAATTAGACATTTCACCAGGAGGGAGAACTGATTTAGTAACTGTTTTCCAGCCCCCAATAGCCTTTACTCTGCCTTGTTATTTGCTTGTGGCTCAGCGACAAAGGGCGCCGGCAAAGCCAGAGGATGGGGCGCCTGGTGTCCACTTCTGGTCTGACCCAAGCCTTCTGAATGGCGTTTGGAAAATCGTGTCATCTCCTGTGGCCCCATCTCCTGACCTGGGGAACCAAGTCAATCGCATTAAAATTCGATGATAGCATACATGTTGGAGCAGTGTTGTTGTTGCCATTGTTTGAAGGCATGAAGTGGCATAAGCCATAGGCCAATGAGAGGAAACAGCTCGCTGAGTGATGGTCAGCAGTGCACCAATATGTTCAAAGGTGTGAACGTTAGAAGGCACTTGTTCATGTGGTCTCAGTTCTGTGACATAGCGGGGCACCGACTCAGGCGAGGGGAACTGTTGCAAACCAACACTGCAGGGGTCAGGACCCGAGGGCTCCCGGGGGCTCCCGGGGGTCCTCACTGCCGAGCCAGCCAGGCCGGAGTCCAGGTCCCCACTTCTCCCCGAGAGCTGATCTCATTGGACCACCGGTCTCATCGGACCCCTCACTGCACAGACCACCGAATGGAGCCAGAGAGCGTGTGAGGGAGGCCAGCATCCTGGACGAATGCGAGGAAGCCGCGTCGCTGGGACTCCTCGCTCCCGAGCCCTCACACTCTGCCCGGGCCCCGTCCTATTTTAAGAGCTTACCTTTTATAGCCTCTCTGTTACATGCTTTCCCATCTAGCTTCTAACGCTTCCTACTTAAGGAAGGGGACATCCTAGCCCCGATGTTATAGGGCCGTGGTCGGCAAACCGCGGCTCTCGAGCCTCGGTTTGCCGAGCCGCAGTTTGCCGACCACTGTAATATAGGGGATTTCCTCACCCAAAGACTTGTTTAATTTCTTTTTTTTTTACTATATTTTTATTGATTTCAGAGAGGAAGGGAGAGGGAGAGAGAGATAGAAACATCAATGATGAGAGAGAATCAGTGATCGGCCGCCTCCTGCACGCCCCACACTGGGGATCGAGCCCGCAACCCGAGCATGTGCCCTGTCCGGGAATCGAACCGTGACCTCCTGGTTCATAGGTCGACGCTCAACCACTGAGCCATGCTGGCCGGGCACTCTCTCTCATCATTGATGTTTCTCTCTCTCTCTCCCCCCGCCTCCTTTCTTCTCTGAAATCAATAAAAATATAAGAATAAAGGGCTGGGTGTGAGAAGAGCCAGAGATGGAAAACACTTCACCAGTCGTCTCGTGGAAATGCCAAGCGGAGATACCGCACCGGCTCGCAGGCAAAGCAAGCACGGTGGTTTCCATGGGAGTGTAAGGATGTGAGCTTTGCGGAGCCCGAGTCCTGGCCAGCGTAGTGAAAAAGGCTGCTTGCTTTGACCTCTCACAAAAGTCAGAGGGACAGATGGGCCGTGGAGCTGATAGCAAAGCAAGGAGAGTGAAAGCAGGCAGGGATGGGGGTGGGGGTCCAGCTTTGCTGAGGCATAAAACTTTATGCTGCTGAGTTTTCCTTTAGGGATCTAAGAAGCAGACATCTCTCTCTATGTTCCCATGCAGTTGGCCACCGTCTACGCATGGTCCTGGATTCCCAGTCCAACACATCACTCTAGGAAGAAGGAAGGAAGGATGGGAGGGAGGGAGGGAGGGAGGTAGGAAGGGTGGGAAGAAGGAAGGAAGGAAAGAAGAAATGGAGGAAAAAAGAGAAAAGCCAACAACACTAAGGTTCCAGGTGGGCCATCTGAAACCGTCTTGTTCCTAGGCAACCAGAAAGAGAGACCTGACTGGGCTGGACCTCCAGGTGCACAGCTCCAGGGAAAGGGCAAATCCTCGTGTTTGTGTGTGTGTGTGTGTGTGTGTGTGTGTGTGTGTGTGTGTGTGTGTGTGCATGCGTGCGCGGTAACAGAGCAAACAGAAACCCATGTGTGAGATGGAATTTCCATGGCAGGTAAGGGACCTGCCGGGAACGTGCAGGCAGGAACATCTGTCTGGCGTTGAACACCTCGCTCCCATCTTCCTTGCACTTGAGCCACCTGCATGGAGAAGTAGGGGCTCCCGCTCCCTTTCCCCCTCACAGCGCTCGGCTCACAGGCGGCTGTGATTTTGTCCCCGGGGGACGCTTGGCGCTGCTGGGGATTTGGGTTGTCACAACTGAGAAGAGGGGGCTACTGGCATCTAGTGGGGCAGGGGCCGGGGGCTGCCATGCACGGAATGGCTCCCACAAAAAGAGTGTCCGGGCAAGGCACCACCTACAGAGCCTCCGACAGTATCCTGCGCCTCCCCCAACTCCCCCCGCCCCCTGCCTGGGAAGTATTGCCAAGATACTCACACCAACGACCAAGACTGAGCAGATGCCTTTTCATGGCCCCCCGGCCCCCCGAGGGCGGCCCCCCGACTGTATAAGCCACAGAGGCTAGTGCCAACGCGGTGCCCACCACGGAGAGGAAAGGAAGACAAGCCAGCTTGCCTCCCGCCATGCCCCACTGCTTCTAAGCCAGTGGCTTCCCCAGAAAAATCAAAAAGTCCTTGCCAGCCCCAGCTCCCGTATTTATACATGGATCCGAGTCAAAAAAAGAAAAAGCTAACACAGAAGTTTCTACCCTGAAGTTGGAAAACTCTGTTTGGGGACAGTGAGCCCAGCAAAGAAGCACAAGTTTCCAAAACAAGGGCCAGAGGAGACCAAGGTCCCTGCCAACACACACAGACGCTAACGCGCCGGGAAAGCAGCGGCAGGAGCCACCGGGCAACGGCTCTTGGAAGAGCGAGGCTCTTACTCCGGGGGTCAGGGCCGCTGAACAACGGAAAAGTGGGGTTCGACTCACTAGCTCCATGGGCTCAGGGAGGTCAGAGGCGGCAGCCGGGGGGGCTGTCCCTTGGCATCCCGGGGCACCCCTGCCCCGCCAGCCTGCAGGGTCTCCGGTCCCAGCATCTTCTCCAAGGATGGCTGCAGCCTCCCTTCGCTGAAGCATCAGAGCCGCTCCCCGCGGCTGAGATGTGCCAGGCAGATGGTCCCACGCGTACCAGCAGGAGCCGCGTTCAAATACACGCAATTGAAAGTCTTCACGCCCTAACTGGTTTGGCTCAGTGGATAGAGCGTCGGCCTGTGGACTGAAGAGTCCCAGGTTCGATTCCGGTCAAGGGCATGTACCTTGGTTGCGGGCACATCCCCAGTGGGGGGCATGCAGGAGGCAGCTGATCGATGTTTCTCTCTCATCGATGTTTCTAACTCTCTATCCCTCTCCCTTCCTCTCTGTAAAAAATCAATAAAATTTTTTTTTTTTAAAGAAAGTCTTCACGCTGATCCAGAGTGGGAGCAAGCCGGCGATCACGGGAGGTGGTCGACCCCCTCGAACCACCAGGGCCAGACGGGGCCAAGGAGAGAGATGAGCCAGAGACAAGCCCTAGGGAAGGGCGGAGTCACAAAAGATTCAGATTCCTGGCTCAGCCTGTGACTAGCCCCGGGATCCTGGCCAGGCTCTTTAAGCCTCAGTTTTGCCACCTGCAAAATGGAGCTAATCCTTTTTACTACAAAAAGCAGCTGTGATTAAATGAGATGTATGTATACACCTGCACTGCGAGGGACACGCTGCTCAATAATTAAGCATCCGTTCCCTTTCTACAACCCATTTTCAGAGTCGTGGGTGTAAATACGAAGCAACGGTGGAGAGAGAAAGCCTGGGAGTGGGCTCCGAGGGGGAGGGACAGGGTGGACAATACTCGGGTTGCACATCCCGGTTCTCCTGGCTGGGGGCCGTCCTGGGGGCTGCCTCTGGGAGCCGCAGCCTCTCACCCACGCCGCCCAGTTGCTCTCCCCCTGACCTGTCCCACTTCTCCACAGGCCCAGTGTGGACGCCAGGCCCAGCAGGAGAACCGGGATGTGTGACAGCTGACGGCGGAGAGAGCCACCCGCCCCTCGTCCATGGCAGCACGTCCTCTTCTGCGAAAGCCTCCCTCACTGTGTCAAGGAGCGCCAGGCCCCTGGGACCCGTCAGATCCAAACAGGGTGAGAAGGCAACTTCGGATTCTGTGGGAAAGAGACTTGGGAACCCGAACATGCAGCTTTCCTCGGGCTGTTTCCTAAGCAGCGAGCCCCAGGGCCAGCAGACCGGGCCTGCGGGAGAAGGAGGGGAGGCAGGGGCGTCCCCTATAGGCCTCCCACAGGCAAGACAAGGTGAGAGTCGGGCACCTGCCCAACGGGCAGGGGCTAAGCAGCCAACCAAGAGGTCAGGTGGCCGCCGTCGGGGAAATGCGAGAGCGGTCAGTCGGTCTTTACCTGGTTCGGATGCTCCGAGGGAGGGAGAAGGAGAGGCCAGCTCCTGAGGGTTACGGCTCCCGGGAGAGTCAGACACAGAGCCTGAGCCGGGACCATCTGCACACTGCAGGGCAGAGGGGAAGGAGCACCCGTGGCAAGGGGACCAGACACGCAGAAGGAAGGATGACGAGGGAGAGGGAACGGGCTGGCAGAGACGGTTCCAAAGTCAGCGGCGGAGGGGGAGCCCCGAGGGACAGAGGAATGGAGGAGACGGGTGGGTGGCAGGCCTGCCGGGCTCCTCCGCTCACACGTGCTGCTTCTCCGCAGCCCAGGGACCGTCCAGATATTATGAATGTTTCACCCTGTCCCTCCGGGGGCCGTGACACCCTGAGCTGAGTGGCCGACGGGAAGCAAGACGCCAACGTCACTGTTTAAGTCAACAGGACCCGGGGCCTCACTAGTTTGCTTTTCCCAGCTCCGACCAGAACACAGAAGCCCATGCGCCTGGCGGAGAACAAGCTGCCCGATTCGGAAACTGATAACGCGCCCCCCCCCCCCCCAGGTGAACGAGGAAGGAGCAGCGGGAGCCGGCGTGCAGCCAGGTGGGTGGCGGTGAGTCGGGGCGCTCGGAAGGGACGGGCTCTCTTCCTCCAGAGAGAGTGGGTGGTAGGAGGCGCCAATTGTTTTGTGACTAATTGGCACCAACTAACAAAAGCAGAAATTACTGCAGATGGAGCTGGAGCTTCATTTGTGGTCGATGATGATTTGCATTTAGAGAAAATACAGTAACTCCCTGTAAAAATAAAACCGCTTGCATTAAGCCACAAATAGGTTGTCTATTTCCGTGCCGGGCTTGTCTGCGAGCAGTGCCCTCCTTCGGGGAGGTGAGGAGAGTTGGGGCGGGGGGGGGCGAGGCACAGAGCCCGTGGAGCCTGGGAAAGTGATGTCTGTGAGCCCCAAAGTCCAGCGTGGAAGGAAGTTCTAGCTTCACCTCCACAAGTCAAGTCACCCCTTTGCAGTTTCCTAGAGAAGCAGCATCCCTCTGCCTCCCCTCAAACAACAGGTAAACAGGGAGGAGGCCTGGGGAAGGACCTTACGGGGCAAGGAAGAAGGAAGTTTAGTAACACAGAGGCCATGGCATGGGCTCATAAGTAGTAGAGCCCACAGTGATGGAGCCCACAGTGATAGAGCCCACAGTGATAGAACCCATAGTGATGGAGCCCACAGTGATGGGCCCATAGTGATAGAGCCCACAGTGATGGAGCCCACAGTGATGGGTCCACAGTGATGGAGCCCACAGTGATGGGTCCACAGTGATGGAGCCCACAGTGATGGGTCCACAGTGATGGAGCCCACAGTGATGGGTCCACAGTGATGGAGCCCACAGTGATGGGTCCACAGTGATGGAGCCCACAGTGATGGGTCCACAGTGATGGAGCCCACAGTGATGGGTCCACAGTGATGGAGCCCACAGTGATGGAGCCCACAGTGGTAGAACCCATAGTGATGGAGCCCACAGTGATGGGCCCATAGTGATGGAGCCCATACTGATGGAGCCCATAGTGATGGAGCCCGTGATGGGCCCAGTGATGGAGCCCACAGTGGTAGAACCCATAGTGATGGAGCCCACAGTGATGGGCCCATAGTGATAGAGCCCACAGTGATGGAGCCCACAGTGATGGAGCCCACAGTGATAGAACCCATAGTGATGGAGCCCATAGTGGTGGAGCCCATAGTGGTGGAGCCCATTAGTAGACCCACAAGTGGTAAAGTTTTTTTCTTCCATCAAAATCTCTCTTGGGTTCCTAGTGAATTCCAGTCACAGCCTAGAATGCATTCCTAATCTTGAAGGGACTCTCCTCTCTCTACCCTAGATGCTGAGCCTAAGGTTATGGGGAGAAAGCCACTGAGTGGTCCATAGAGCCCAGCCTGACCCTTGGTGTTAGAAAGTGAGAGTTAGAATAGCGAGGGGCTGGGCCACGCCTACGAGAGATCAGCCTGGCCATGGGTGAGGCAGGTCGGGCCCATTTTCACAGCAGGCTGACAGGCTCCGGAATCAGGACTGAGAAACAACAGGTTCCCACACAGGCAGACAACTGAGTGAGTACACAATGTCTTGATTCACCATTTGGAAGCAGAACAACTTCCGGTATGCTAGAAATTTGGACTTGCAAATTTGACTGGAGTGATGAGTGATTCTTTATCTCATCTGTTTGATTGACAGGGTCTCAGAGCAGGGCTGGCCCCACCCTGTGCCCTCCAGTCCTGCCAGAGACTTCAGAGCTCACTGGTCAGATAAAGTCCGAGATAAAACCCTGAGAACAGAACTCTCCCAGGCTGATCGGAATCCCATCAGCCTCGGGGAGTGTTCTCCAGGCTTCTCATGCCCTGCTCGGTCCTGGGATTGCTTGGGTCTCTCCCAAGTCATGACCTTCACTTTCAGTGCACTTTTCTTCAACAACAAATCTTGAAGACAAGTGGCACCCCCCCCCCAATGTCGTTCTCCTCCAACAAGACAGGCCCACCTGGGGGGGCAGGAACCACAGCAGGTGGAGGGGGAGCGAGCCCATGAGAAAGTGAAGGGAGCAGACAGACTCCTGGATAAACCCTAGGAAGGGTCCAAGAGGGAGCGGGCTGCAGATTAGAGCCAGCTGTGAGAGGCTGGGTCCCCAGCCCTGAGTCGTCCCCCTCCCCCA